CGCACACTCGACACGCACGATCTCCGCAGAGGGTTGCGAGTCAAGTCTCCAAAACGAGCGTTTCGTACGAGACTTCCTCAAAAACTCACACGTCAAAGTCTGCAAAACGAGCGTTTCGTACGAGACTTCCTCCAAAAGTCAAGTGGAAACACCCATCGGAGCACACACATCACGCAGCCCTGCCAAGCAGTTTCGCGATTCCAGCCCCTCCAAACAACATCCGCTCACACGCCATGGCAATCCCAATGTGACAGCGACATTCACCTCTACCACGACTCACAACCTCACGATTCCCTGCACCTGCCACGAATCTTTCCGCGTCCACACGTGTAACGCGCACAGAGTACTGCGCCTGCCACGAAATGTCACCTCCGTCACACCTCGCAACCTCACGATTCCCTGTGCCTGCCACGAGAATCGCACTTCCACGCCTCAAAGCCCGCACAAAGTCCTGCGCCTGCCACGAAAAGTGAGAATATCATCTCATGTGAGCTTCAACAAAATTTGCACCACACCACACGTTTGGAATGATTTCGACCCGTTCTGAGCACACTCCCATCCACCAAAATCGCCATTTCAGCTGAGACTTGTCACGAAAACCGAGCTTCGATGCCACACCCTGAAACGCAAATCCCAATGGCACGGCCACATCCAACACCCCAAAAACACGACTCTCCAAACGCTAATCCCAATGGAACTGCGCAGCAATCTGCGGATCTCACAAAACGCTGCACCTGTGCAGCGAAACGTATCACGTTTCTTGCGCGACATGTCGGTGTCATGCAAATCACAATGGAATAGCGACGCAAACTGACACGTGACGCGTCCATGCAAAGTCACTTGCAAAAGCTTCCCCCAATGGCAGCAAATTTGAGACGCGACGACGACGACAGACTACGACAGACGACGACAAACGACGAGAGACGACGACAGACGACGACACGACGCACGCCACGCGAACACAGCTCCAACCCCCAGACCCCCAACTATAAACGGGAACCCTTCGCTACGCATTCGGGAAAAAAAAGAAACAAACACAAAAGTCAACATAGCAGTCCGTGCAAAAAGTCAAAGTCCCCCAAAATCAAATCATAAAGTTTCAGAATATTAAAAACAAATCAAACACACAGTCAATTGGGCCAGATCCGACATTTGTTGATGCTTGTTTGCTTTTTTTGGTTTGTTCCAACTTTTTTGACTTCTATTTGATGTATGACCCTTCTTGAGTTGTTGTCCAATTGTGTTGTTGTTTGTTTTCGTAATTTATGTTTTTGTTTGATGTTTCCGAGTTTTTTTTTTCCAATTGTTGCTTGTTTTTTGTTCAACGTGTTTTTTGACGTTTATTTGGTATGTTTGATGTTGTTTTCGAGTTGTTTTCTAATTTTGTCAGTTTTTTTTGCATTTGTCCGACTTATACTTTATACTGTTTGACTCTTCCAACTGACTTTTTCCATGTGATTTGTTGTTTCTTCGACTTGTTTAATCCAAGGACCCTGGCCTTACCAAAAGAAAGAATCTTTTAACCCCATCGACAATTCACCCAGGGAACATAATATATGAGCATAGCACATCTCCAGCAAAACAATGATACCTGTCCCCGGCACCGTGCATTGCATACTTGCCTACATGAACCCCCCGAAAGCACCCCAACTGTTGGGCAAATGATGCCAGTCCTAGGCCCAAACAGGTCGAGTCGTTGACGGTACTTACATGTGCGCGCGTATTACCCCTATGGGTCCACATACCTTCTGAGAAGGTAGAAACACTAGTCACTAGCTCACGGACCGAAAGTAATTGGATCCTACAAGCTGGGCCCCCCCACAACATTGTCCACTGATTGCGGCCTTCCCTGGCCGTGTTGTCTTGCTGTATGCTGAGACGCGCCGGCATTGGCAAGCATTTCTCTTCCACAATGCTGGCGATCTCCTCCAAAGCATGGGTCAGAACCGTGAGTTGGTGGTTGCTGTCCTTCTTCTGATCGCTGCTTGCGACATAGAAAAGGTCGGCAACCCCATGGCACAACACAACCATCGTGTTGAGCAGCTCCGGTCGCCAAGCCGACTCCCATTGCTTCCCCAAGTCCATGCTTGGGCATCCCATCCCATCCACACCACGGGGGCGTGCCCGTCAGCAACGCTGGCTCATCCTCATCTACTATGTCGTGCAATGCTTGCACACATCCGAACGATTCAAATCCTTGTTCTATCAGCCTGGACGCTCACAAAGGTCTTGCCTTCATCGTTGGCTCACTTTTTTTGCCGCGAAGCAAGTGGGTCTTTGTCAGAGTTCATCTGACGCAAGTGGGTCTATGACGAATCCTGGCCGGAGTTGGTACTTCTGAGCCAGTGCTTTGAATCGGCGAATACAGCCCCATCACATCACATCAACTGCCATCTGGGTGTGATCAGGTGTGCTATGTCAGCCACCGCATCGGTGATCTCGTTGTTCATTGAGTATGTCTACCAGAATGACACCTTCCAGATGTTCTCTTGGCAATGTCCTTTTCCTTCGTTAGCGTCAAGCCTGGCGACGCGACTGGTCGCGTCGCGTCAGTCCACCCCATCGGGTGGTGCCATTCGCTTCGTGCCCTTCTGCACGGCGTGACCGGCAGGTCTATGCGAAGCCTCACCCGCTCGCTTCTTGGGTTCTGCCATCACCTTGGCCACAAGGCCTTGCTGGTTTCTTTTCTTCAGCTACCGGTCACAAAGAGCGAGAAGGTGAACAAAAAACAGTTCCTGACCAAGTCCCGTCAAATGAGATCAGTTCCTGACCAGTCGCGTCTGTTTTGTATGACCAACCTCCAGTAAAATCAGGTCTTTGACCGAACTCCGCTGTACGTGTTCTTTAAACAAACATAACAAACGTCACTTGTCTTCCAGTCCCGGATGGTCGACCTATACCGCTGGTCCGCTCGTACCGCTTCCTTCCGGCGGCTCCTGCGCTCCAAAGCCGATCGAGTCCAAGTAGGCCAAGGCGCCGCCCTCCTGAGCTCGCTCGGCGGGCGGAGCGGCGCTCGCGAACGGACACGAACGGAACGATCGAACGCGACGAGTTCCGGGGCTCCTGGCCTTACTACTCCCTAGGGATCCACATACCGAACCTCAGGAGGTACGACTGGGCCCTCCAAGCCTATACATAAATAGTCTCCTTCTGAGAAGGTACTTGGATCCCTAGGGACTAGGAGCCTTCGGACAGCTACTTATAGGGGCTCCTGGCATCGCTCGCTGGCTGCGGTTCTCCCGCGACCCAGCGGGGAACCCGATGACGCTCTAGGTCGCGGAGGCCGTGACGCCAGAGCTTGGCCATGGGTCCGTTTTCTTTTGAGACCTGAAGTCATTCGGAGCCTGGTCTGTGGTATGGGGAAAAGGCTATAGAAAAACCTCTCTATTACAAGACATGGGAAGGCTGCCAGGCTCCAAGGTGTTACATTCGATGTTCACTTTCCCTAGATACCCTTCTACTACTAGCTTCTTGCCCCTAGTAGCGGTGGCATTCAACCTACTTGCGATGGCCTCCACCAAACACTGTAGCGTCCTTGTTAGTAGCTTCTTGTTCCTATATTAAGGCCAGGAGCTCCGAACGGAACGTAGCATCCTTGCTCCGTTCGTAGCGATGCCAGGAGCCCCGTTTGTAGCGTCCTAAATAGGGATCCACGGAGCCACACTCTCTTTAAAGGTGATTGGACCCGACCCTACCGAACCATCCAAAGAGTCTCCCTGCCTACCCTTCTCAGAGGGTGGATCTGTGGAAAAACATTGAAAGAAGCCAAAGATGAAGAGTGTTGAAGCCTAGGGTCTCATTACCGGTCTTACAGACATGCGCTTTATTGTGAAGGCTGCACAAGCAAAAGCACACCTCTTCCACCTTCAGTGAGGGTCTTCGGATGTACTCAGCATTCGATACTCTGAAACAGCAAAAAAGCATGGGGCGAGTATTCAAGTGTAGCTCTGAGCTTTCCACAGAAGCCCAGACTTTGCCAAGCTGGATGCCAAGCGCTTGAGGGTTGGGTCAAGCTAACACCAGGTCGCAATTCAGTCATTCCGATTCCTGGTTTGGACACTTCCTTCGTTCCGTCGAACATGGGACATGGCAGCTGACACTGTCTCCCTATAGAACAAAACGACTAGTCTAGGGCCTCCTCAGTCTCCACCTCTCTTCGACTTGCCGTGGTCATCTATCCATTTCATGGCCAACACCGAACACCGCCGTCTCCGTGCCTCTTCGAGCATCTCCAGCGTATAAGCCATGGTCTGCGGAAAGACCGCTGCGCCGTGCTCGGACGCCGTGGCCGCCCCCGACGCGGCGTCACCATCCATGGCCGCGCCTGCCGAGTTTCGGTCTCATCCGGGTGCTATCCAGGGAGGTGAGGGGTGCCCACCAGACCTAATCCATCCACGACAACACCACCCAACAACACTTCTGACTCCAGGTGAGTTGTTGGTTCAAAACCCAATTAGCTAAAATGCTCCAATACATTCCAATAAGAGTCAACATACGCTTCACATTCCTATAGCTCCGTGTCAAACGACTGATGCAGGCGAGTGCCTGTGTCACTGACAGACCTGCCACAAGTTCGCAAAACCTGGTTTCAGTTTCACAAACAACTCGGCGACACTCTATGGCAATATGCATGGTTACGTGGATGGCATGGCCCCCCCGGAAAACCATTTGGCTCTCCGAACAGGCGGTGTTCCACGTCCATGGTAGAGCTAGGAGGGTAAAAAAAAAAACACATCACTAATCAAATACAAAGGACAAACACATCCTCCAAAGGGCAAAGGTCATGGGAGCGTTTGAGAATTCAAATCACATCAAACGTCTTACACCCTATATAGGAATCCACATACCCTCTGAGAAAGTAATTATAGATCCTTAGCGAGAATAGACACCGATCTCTGTTGCAGCTCAGACATCGACCTCTTGAACAAAAAGTCAAGCACTCATGGCGTCCACCCCACCGTTTACAGAGTGAGCATCGTGTTGTTTTCGCCACGACACGAGACGTGACGTGCATGGAGGAACTATGCTAAAGATCGAGGAACCATCTACAACCAGGAGTCACAAAGGGGTGGTTTTTTAGTCCCCAAGTGAGTGGATGTTCTGGGCACCCCTATTCTATCCTCCAATAGGCACCCCTATCCTCCAATAGGCACCCCTTTTGTGACAGCTGGAAACAACTCAATATACATATAGACTCTTGATTAATAACCCCATTCAATATGATGATGTTTTTTCCAACCCAATGGGGGGGTTGGAGTCGGCTGCATGTACCTCGGAATCGCCCCAGGTCGTACCAGAAACAGAAAACATAAACGAGTCATGCATCCCATGTTCATCTGAATGTTTCGTCGGGTCCACATCCAACTCTGGATCTATAGTTTCTTCTCCGCATCCCACTCCCTGCCCTTCCGAAACAATCACACCTTTTTGTCCATTGCCCGTTACTGTACGTCACTGCGCGTCACACATGTCACGCGTCGCGTCGCGTCACTGTCGCAGCGCAAGACGTGACATGTCGGACATCGCCCAAGGTCGGATTGCAGCGTTTTGGCGCGCCTGGCCGAAGGCCTGGCCAGCTGGCGTCATACTGCAAGGGATGGACCTCCGGAGCCATGCGCAATGCGCATCGCCATTTCTTTCGGGTCGACCGGATCGGAGCATGCATGGCATGGGACGAAGGAAAACCCAGTGTCGCAAAACGATAGCTTGGTATACGCTTGGATATTTTCTTTGAGGAAGCGGGACAAACCGGAACAGATAGCTACATCGCCCAAAACCAGTATATAGACCCAAACCCTTGCCTTCGGTGCACGGTCTAACAGATCAACTCCGAGTTGGGGGTCGGTGGGACGTTCCGGAAGAAACGGGCTTCAACATGTTCTTCCACCCAAACGCGACCCAAGTTCCGTTGTTCCACCTCGACTCCTCGGTAGAAGGAGCGTCTGCTTAGAAGGCACTTGGGACTTAGCGACTTAGCGATACTTACGGGTGACGGGGGTCAATGTAGGCATGTATGGCATACATGGAGTGTCTGGGATAGACTTATCATGTTCACTCGCAAGTGGGGAAGATGTTTCATCCACGAGTCAGTGGAGACCTGTCAAACCTCCCGCCGCTGGAGACCCGGAAAGCGGAGTCGCTCGTCGCTCGAGACCGGTGGACCTTTGTCATTGATCATGAGGTGGATGTGTGAATGTGATGTCTGGTATTTCTGTCACCCAAGTTGACTTATCCCGAACTGGATGCACTGCCACCTTCACCTGAGAAGGTCAGACTTTTTGTGTAGGCGCCATTGTCGGGTCCAATTACCTTCTGAGGTGCGGTGGCAGTGGATCCATATAGGGTATATAGGTCGACTCTAGGTGGATTTCTAGGGTTTATCTACCAACGTCCACATCTCACAAAGTTCCTCCTCTTGGCTCCGAATCTCCTCGTTTCTCGGCGCCCATCGGACGGCTGTGCCTGGCCAGATTTCTGCATCATCTTGAAGCGCCGCGGATCTTCTTGCTCCACTTGCTTCCACCAAAGCGCCATGCCAACCTGTATCGATCTAATCCGCCAGGTTGGCTGGATTGGAAGGAAGCGCCGGTGTGAATGGTAGGTTTCATGTTAGGCATATCCGACGTCTTGATTGATTTACTGAAATTTTTAGAATTTTAGTTTTTTCACAGACCCACCATATTCTCTGCTTGGGTTTGCAGATGCTGTGTTTACAATGCAACACAACACAGCGGGCCGTCATCAACATTTCTGCCCCATCCATGGAATGTCTGGGTGATGTGAATGTAGTTTGTTGATGATAAAATCCCCATATTATGAAAGGATAATCCAAACGGAGGGGGCATATCAAACAAAAGTGCGCACAAAACGACAAGGACATTAAACACTAACACTAAAACTGCCCACTGCTGACAAGTCAGAAGACATCTTAGCGTGCCGCAGCGTGCCCACTGGTTTTTCAATTCAATCTCATGCATGATGGTTTCATCCTTCCCGGTGTTGACACGACTTTTCTGCTAGCCTATGCTAGCCTGGCAGGTGAAATCCACTCCACCCATTGCCCATCCGTGCCATTCCGTGCCAATCGGTCCGGAAAGCCTCCAGCTTCCCCACCAACCATTCCCACCCATTCCCCGTCCTGCGCGCAAGCGTTGATGTGTTCAGATGCCTGATTCGTCTTCAGGTAGTCAGTCAGAATGGCCTCCTGTCAGCACTTGTTGGGAAGCGAACCAAATGGTCAGGGAACACATGTTTTTGTTGCCTTATGACCGTGAAGAGGTACGATAGAGGACATGGAGACAAATCCAAACGATCTCTGGTTTTGTATTTCGCCACCTTATCGAAAACCGGCCGCCCCCATCACCAAAAATCTGCCAAACACCAGAGCGGTTTCTTTTCCATATTTTTTTGTTGTTTCCGAGTCCACGTTTGAGATGCACGCGTGTCGAATGCACACGCAGCCCCCCCTGGCATCTCCTGTGTGACATGCCTCATGTATTGTGCATTTTGTTTAGCGGGTAGGGTACTACTTTCTAGGCACTTTCTGCACTGAGGCGAAGGTACTTGATCATCAAGTTGCTTTTCCCCACCTGCCAGGTGAGGGTTGTTAGATTCTATCAGAGCTATCCTCCTCCTCCTCCTCCTCCTCCCGCCACACCTCAACAGCAAGTGCCAGATTGCATAGCCTGGCTGCGATTGGAGTGATATGTTCCTGCTGTGTCAGCACAGGCTCCAACTGCGACCATGTGATTGGATTGGAGCGGAGCACGCGGCGTTGAAGGTGAGGAAACAAAGTTCCGAAGACCATCTTGGAGCCCACATGTAGTTGAAACGCCCGTGATGCAGCAGCCGGCGCAGGACTTCGAAAGATTCTCGGCAGTGCATGAAAAGAGGGCAAGTGATGAAGTAAAGGTGTGCATGTGGACACGCCCAGCTACTCGAGATGCGGTAGAGCGTTGATAAGTCATCCTCTGACACACCAGAAGCATTGCGACTCTCTCAGAGCCCTGTGAAAAAGCATCACATGCAGTGAAGTGAAGGTTCTGGCAAGGGCTCCGGCTGACTTTCTCCATATAGAATAGCCGGTGCATGCCAATTTCATGGCTATCAATTCAAGGGAACCAAAGCATCTGCGGCAAGTCTTTGAATGCTACGTAGCTACTCTCCCATATAAAAGCTTCGGCTCTTTCTGGCCGAAGCTCCAGGCATGACGGACCAGCCGCGCATCGGCGCGCTCACCGCTTAGCCCCCGAAGTCGGTCCGGCAGCGCATCGGCCGGAATCAGAAGGGTTCTGGAGGGTTCTGGGGCGCATCGCGAAGTGAGGGGACTCAGATGTGAAGGAGTGAGGGTTGAAATCAGAAAACACTGGAGTTGAAGGGAGGTGGTACTTCATCCAGAACCAGAGTCGCCGGCCGTGTCACGAGCTCGCGAGCCGCCGGCGCGAGTCGCCGGCGCTGCCTTTGGAACGGCCAAGAGACGGTGGGAGGCCGAAAGACGAGAAGCTGACAGATCCCTACCCTAAGGATCATTGGACCCGACCACTTCTGGAGGGTGACCCGACCCCGCAGGTTCGAAACTCGAGATTGGGCATTCCAGCACTTCCAACTGCGGCATCGAAACCGTTTCTTTTGGATGGATGGATGCCAGAAGTGGCCGAAACGCAAAAACCAATCATCCTCTACTCACACACTTTGTGATGACGAGGTGGTATATACCCTAGGGCTCCGAACGCCCCATATCCTCAGGTTCGGTGGTATTCGACCCCCCTGGCACCCACCCGAACCATCTTCGAAACGGGGGTAGTTGGAGCCCTATAGGGATTGATATATCCCGAAATTAAGTGGATGTTGAGGGCTCTAAAGCCCCTCCAGCACCACTCCCCTCCAATAATTGGCGATACATTCTTCCACAGATACTCCGACTCGGCCACATGGAACCCACAATCTGAACATCTGCCACATCTCGCCCATATACCATTCCACATGCCATCTGTTGGGACCAACGCTCGCCGTCGAAACAAGCCAAACGTCACCCGTGAAAATCCACCGCTCCAACCTCCGCGCTCTCCGTGTGCGGCGCTCGGCGCGCCTGGTCCAATCCCAGGGCACTCAAGATGAGACAGGCCAAAAGCCCTGTACGATCCTTTCCTGCGAAGGTCGACGTTCCAAAGATGGTCTAACAGGTCAGACAGGTCCAGGTCAGGCGTTGGAGTTGCACATCACCGAACTTCTGAAACCCAAGCATGACCACTGTTTTGACAGGACAAGGCCATGTTTTCACCTGTTTTGAACCCAGACTTGACCCCTGTTTTGATAGGAAGCTGGACCATGTTTTCTGTGATTGCTGGTGGCAAACAACTAAGGTCACTTAGGTTAAAGGCATGTATACCATGAATACCATGTATGACCCGAATGGAAGTACAGTAACTCTCACCATGGACACGCGCGACAGCGGACATGGCGGACAGCAATCGACCCCTTGTCCTTTGGACGGGTTTGGGTCGGCTGTACTAAAAACATGTAGTCTTTGTGACATTCACACATGGGACATGAATGCATGGCAGGTGAGTGGCTAATATTGCAAGAACCAAACTTGCAAATCCGCAAGTAAAGCGACCAAATTTTGTTGAAGGTACCTAACGTGATATCCTCGGAAGGCTTTATCGAGGTTGGCTTGGTCCGGCTGGGATTCCTAAGGCGTCGAACTAACTGGCTTTCCCGATCTGGGTTGTCGATATGTTGATTTGGCCAAGGGAAGGGACATGTATCCCATCGAGTTTGTGAGGGGCTAATTCTAGAGTGATAGGGCGCGCCTCTTGGTAATACGCCAAGCATCCCACGAATTTGGTCGAATATGTTTTGTTCGAATATTTGCCGATCAGTCAATGTAAGAAAATCTTCCCAAAACTACAAACAACGTCTTGGAAAAGAACACTGCCCAAAACTGGCAGACACATCTCTGAAGGTCTTGGTACATGGCTGGTCTGGGACTGCTTTCTTTCCCAGAGCTCCCAAAGGAGCACAACGGAAGACGACGGGGACAGTCCTGCGACACAGCCAAAGACCACGGGGTAGTTTTGCTCCTCCGCGTGCCGTCTTTTTGGTGCCGTTCGTGACCTGGGATCTCAAAAGGTACCTTTGAAGGTCCCTGGTGTATAATCACGTACGTACACTGTGTACGACCCCAAGAGGTGGTATGATGACATGGACCCTTGTGACATTGGTCACTAAGTCTGAAGCCACTGTGATCAAGAGCCCTGCGTGGTTTCCGGACCGAGTCCTGCCCTGCTGGGTGTCTTTCTTCTGGTCGTGTTTTGTGGCAGACCCGTGACCCGCTCCAACCATTTCAACGGGTCAGGGGTCTGTGAAAAGCCTGGAGCTGGACCAGCTGGACTGGTCGGAAGTTCTCTTGTGTTTGCAGGGTCATTGTGCTAGCTGCTAGCTCCTTGTCCAATGGACTGACTGGATCAAACACACCAAACTCTTTGGATGACCAACTGTGTCAAACACCATTACTAGCCTACTTGCAAGAGCCATTAATTAGACGACTAGGGATGGTGGAATCACCAAAAGGTGAACATATTCCTTTTTTTTTTTTTTTCTCTCTCTCTCTCTCTCTCAAGAAATGCTGCTGACGCAAAGCATGGCAGGCTGAGTCTCCTGCTCGTGGATGAGGACTCAAATGACCAAAGAATTGTCGATGATGTACCCAAACAAAAGGAACCCCCGAATCTAGACTCTTGATGAATCAAACTCTCAAGCTCGGGCTCAAGGTATTTCCATCAACAGTCCACATCAGTGAGGTTACCCAAACACTCCGTTCAAATCAACACTCCGTTCAAAAACCCTTGTAAAACCGATCTGGATTGGATTTTGAAACCCCTGGGCCCCCCCAACTTATTTTGGGTCCCATCCCTTCGTATAGGTTCCGGGTCCTGCTGTGCTGCCACAAAAGTGCTTCATCCAGAGGGGGATGGCACTTAACCCTAGGGCTCCAACTACCTCCTGAGAGGTTGGGGTGGGTTTTGGGGTCTAACCACCGTCAAGCAGAACACGGGATAGCTTCGGGGCCCGGGTCGCGGCGGGTCGCGTCTGGGTATAACACTCCGTGGATCGCTTCACGGGCTGCTGGATCGTTTCCTTCGCCTCAGTTTCGAGTTTGGCGGTCCTCAGTGAGCACTTTCATGGCTTTCAAGACCTGGCGTTCGAACTGTTGGTTTAAAGATGATGTCCTCCCATGGGAATAGAGGGGTTGGTGCCAGGTATCACATTGCGTGTGCACGAAGAGGGGGTATCTACCTCCTCTATAAATCAACTAACTAACTACTAGTAAGAGGCCAGACCAAACATGTATGGAATAGTTGAATAGTTTTTTTTATAGTCAATAGTCATACATGGATGGGCCATTTGGACAAGCTTTCATGCATGTAACTATTCCAGTCCCATGGATAGCTGGGCATGGATAGGAGATTCCTGCGGTTTTCGAAGGGCCCATGGTCTGCCTCGTCGGCGTTCACGAACAAGATGGCGCGGTTCAAAGCACAAAGGTTGGAGGCAGTGTTCAAGTCCACCTGGCGCTGGAAATGGAGTAATGGGACGGACATCTTGCCTACTTCAATAAACATTTACCACAATTCTACCACTATAACCACCATAGAGACACGCAAAACACCCCAATAGGGATCCACTACCACCTTCTTGGGTAAAGGTATGACTGGACCCGACCATGGTGCCAACATAGGGTATGTGAAGTGGATCCATGAGAATTGTTAAGTGCTATCGACTTCAAGTAAACTATTTCCCATGGAACCTGGACCCGACTTCGGTAGTACTCTAGAAAATGGGACATGGCACGACTGGAAAACAGGTACTTCCAGGACCTTCAAAAGTGTCCAGTTGAATTTCCAGAATGGGTCACTTGAGACTCCAAACAGGTCACGAACGGCTCAGGTCCGCGTGTTCTGCGGTACGTCTAAAAGTTCGACTCCACGAACACTGAAAGTGGCCGCCAGCGTGCCGGTGGGTGGTGAGACGAATTGTTGCGTTCGTTGAGGAGAGTTGAGCTGTGCTGAAAACCTTGATAGATTCCTATGTCGTAAAAGGGTGCTTACGCAACACATAGGTTTTTCTTACGCGGCATGTGGGGGGAAGTGGATGTTTCCGCCACCCTTACGCAGCCAGACTTCGCAATTTTTTGCGAAAACGCTGGGAACATGCTTACGTGACGTGCTTTGTACAACGATAGGGCTTCAAGAGTTACTACTACCGAGGCCGCGCAAAACCGCATGGCGCAGCGACATCACAATCGTCATTTGGCCACACGGTGTGCCACAGACTAGACACAACAGTGCACCACCAAGCCTCATGGACACCGCCAAGAGTCCCAAAAATTATCCTCTATGGACCTGTTTTGTGTAGGCACATATGAGCAGAGCGGAAGCTTGTCTGAAGTGCATATTTTCAGGCCAGTGTTGGCAAAAGGCTTTGGATTTGGGAGCCATGTGGGCTACTACTCACGGACGCGCCTGACACTTACGCGCTGCCTACGCGGAGCTTACGCGCGCCTTACGCTGAACGTGCTGTGACTCTCCTCGATTTTGGTGAGGTTCATGTTTCTAGTAACCACAGCAGACCTCCTCGACCAAATCTGTTCTCACATCAAATGCGAACTGCAAAACGACAAAGAAAAAAACTGACGCGGCACAAAAAGTTTACGCAACCTGGCGCACTGCAGTGTTTTCCTTATGCCCCGAGCTCTTATGACAAGAACCTTACTCATTACAAGCAAGTGGGTTTATGGCATGGCTCAGTTGGGTCCCGACTTCGGAGTAGCGCTCGTCTTTCGGAGGTTTCAACAAAGGAATACGATGAATCAGTCCAAAACACTTCGGGATATGCGTATATTTACCTGAAACCACCGGTCCCATGGAAGCAAATATGGCAGTCCCATGCAGTGTTTGGGAGTGGGATCAACCGTCTCAAGTCTACAAAGGTGGAGCATCAAAATGTTTGAAACCACTGCACAGTAGTGGGAAGCCAGGCATCCGGAGCCGATGTCACTCAAGGGCTGAGATGTTTACATGCCCGAATGACAAGCACCAAAAGTGGGCAAAGTCCGGATTGCAGGTTCAATCTCGATTGCAACATTTTACTGCATTAGCTGGTTTTCGGCCAGCCTCTTCTTTTGGTCTTTCGACCTTGCATTGTGAAGGGAGCGGATGGCCGCTTGCGCTGCAACTTGAACCACCGCCATTTTGCTGCGGCGTTCGAATTGGCTCAAATCGTGATTTGAATCATTCCTTTCCCCAAACTGGCCGCTTGTGTTCCTGCCAAATACACTCTCATTGTCTGCCCACATGATTTCAGTCCTGTCTTGTCTGGATGCTCTGAGCGCCGTGGTTCGCATGATTTCGCATCTCCCAGTTGTCTGCTCCACTCTGGATTCTTTGCCCGCGTGATTTCAGATGTGACCTTGCAACCTCAAAAACAGACCTTACATAGGTCCAAGAACAACAAGTCAAAACGATATTTCCGTTACAAAAACATCTCCCGACAATATAGGTATATATGTAAGTCAAAGAGTGGCAAGCCTCCGGTTCTGGTGAGCACGACAAACGAATCGCTCACAGCGGCAGTGAAAGGGGGTGGTGGCTGCTGTGGCCAAGGCAGCTGAATGAAAGCTGAATGAATGCCAAGGCGGCTGGACAGCCACAAAAGTGTAGGATTGGCTGCAGTGGCTGGCTGGATAATTAGGCAAGCCCATGCAACTTTTCAACCCAAAGACAGAGATTTTAGAGGAAAGCAGCAGGAAAAGAGAAGACAAGAGGAGGACAAGACCCGGCCACAGAGCCCGGCCACAGAGTTGAGGGGCGCGGCCAGTCAGTGTGGCCAAGCGCGGCCAGAGGACAAGAGGAGGACAAGACCCGGCCACAGAGTTCAGGGAGGGCTGGTCAGCGCGGCCAGAGGACAACAGCAGGACAAGAGGACAAGACCCGGCCACACAGTTCAGGGGCGCGGCCAGACAGTGTGGCCAGGGCTGGTCAGCGCGGCCAGGTGGCCAGCTCTTTTCCAAGACAGAACCCCAACCGTAAACTGTTTGGTGAAAAAAGAGCTGTTAAACGTTCCACTGCAGGAATGCGAATTGATGCTGGGAATCAATGTCGGTTTCAGTGGCTCTGCAGCTTAGGGTCAGCATTCCCATGATTCAGCCGATGCTTCAGAGGAGATCAAGAATCAAGAAAGTTCAGGGTTCTACACTCTTGAGGGTATGTGAATACAGCGCCCAAGTTTGGGCGCACCGCAGTGGATGCTGCCAAAGCACACTTAGAAGGAGGCTTGCAAGAGCATATTGCAGGTTCAACCGGGAATGCATTAACGCAATTATACTGCATTGGCCGATATATGCCGATATGACCTTGACCTCTTTAAAAACAGACCTTATAAAGGCCCAAGAACAACAAGTCAAGACTGCTTCTGCAATCCGTCCACATGCTGTCATGAAGCGCGAAGGTAATTCGGCAAAAAATGAATCAAAGGCGGCGAGCGTCCATTTTACAACGGAGACGGGGCTCGCGTGCTTTTCACGCGCCGTTGCGTGGATCCAGCGCTGCTTCCCACAGCCAGGCCTCATCATCAAGATACCACCATGGCTGGTGCGTTTGCGGGTCAATAAAGCCTCAGCGTGAAGTTGAAAAAAAAGCAGCTGTAATGGCTCAAATGCAATGAGCGCCAAACGCTCAAAACCCCATTCTTCAAGCAGCCGTTCTCTGAGGTTGTGAGTTGGAGCCTGCGCATTTCAGCAATAAATAGCGGCGCTAAATGTTTTCGTTTTGCACATTCTTGCCTCATGCACACTCTGGAGGTATCCCGCAACATCAGCCGAGAGGAAACCACGAACCTAACCCAGCAATATTCCAAGCAACCACTAACGAACTGGTGCTCCACTGCAACCTGCTCCTGAAAGGTCCAAGACCCAAGCATTCTTGCTGTCATCTACTGCGCCCTGTGCGCGGGCCGTGCTCACGCATAAAACGTGTGGCGCAACGCCCTCTTTACTCTAGATACTCGACTGCTGCAAGCGTTCAAATCCTTGCGCGCCTCCGTCTCCACCTCCGGCTGTCCTGCGGCCCTCGGGGCGCTCGTGCAAGACCATCGAAACCTTGGATCCGCCGGCAATTGCGCTAAATTTCAGACCTGGCCCCATGGAAACTTGTTGGGCGCCACGCGGGATGTGGACTTCCATCGACCACTCTGACATCCCATCTTCATCTTCGGAAAGATTGGCCTGGGCCCCGGCGTTCAATGACTTGATTTTCAAAATCTTCCAACTCTGGATTAAAGGCCCGTGCGTTGCCCGACTCTGTGGACACAGCCCAGGGAGACAAAGACCATGCGTCTAAATCCTCAATGTCAGCTCATCACGCAGATCGCGTGAAAAATAGGCGACCAAACAAATGCGGATTAGGGTCGGACATGTCATAGGGCGAGGACTCGCCGTCCTCGTAAAGCACCGACGTGCACAGTACTCACCTCGGCTCCGGTTCGAGGGCTATCTACTGACAACTCACGAACTCATGCTGGGGGACTGGCGCATGAAGAGGCTCCGGTGGTAGGGGCCGGGACCGCGAGCGTCTGGGTCAAGCCCAAGAAACCAAGTGTGGGCTCCACACCCCTGGCTCAAACTGGATCAACGCAAGGCCTTAACCACTTTCAGCTTGCGCGGGCCGAGTCTAAGCTGCCGCGCAATGCATTCTTGTGGGTCGCGCAGCGCTTGCATGATAATGGTTGGCATCGCGCCTCACAGCAACCACAATTTCCCACGCAAGTGACGGGGGCTTGTTAATTGTGGCCAAGCAGCGTCTTTGCCGCAGCAAGAAATGGAGCGTAACCCACGGTTAAGCTCGCAAGCTTCGAGATACAGCTGCATCAAAACATAGATTTTCAAGCTGGCGCTTCACAGGCCCAAGCCTGCCATTCAAAGTCTGTTGTTTCTTTCAAGAAACGTTCGGTATTAAGCTCACTGGTATGGTCTAATCTCGCAAAAGGGACGTTTTCAGGGCTACCGTTTCCAAGGCCGCGGTTTACAAGCTAGCGCTTCACAGGTCCAAGCCTTCCATTCAAGCCTGTTGTTTCTTTCAAGAAACGTTCAGTATTAAGCTCACTAGTATGGTCTAATCTCACAAAACGGACGTTTTCAGGATACCATTTCGAAGGCTTCCAAAACCAGGTTTTCAACCTAGTGCTTCGCAGGCCGCAAGCCTCCCATTCAAGGCCGTTGTTTCTCCGTTGTTTCTTTCAAGAAACGGTCAGTGTTAAGCTCACTAGTTTGGTCCAATCTCCCAAAACGGACGTTTTCAAGGCTGCCCTTCCAAAGGCTTCCAAAACTAGGTTTCAAGGCTAGGCCTTCCCACCCCCAATTCTTCATATCAAGGCTGTTGTTTCTCCCAAGAAACGTTCAATGATAAGCCCAGTAGTATGGTGCAACTTCTCAAAAACGGACTTTTTCAAGGCTATCCCTCCAAAGGCTTCCAAAACCAGGTTCCAAGGCTAGCCCTTCACACCCCTAATCCTTCAAAGCAAGGTTATTGATGCTCTGAAGAAACGGCCAATATGAAGCCAACTGTATGTTCATCCGTGGATGTAATATTGAGGTCACGGCCCAAGCAAAATCAACGTGAATTATCGCCATAGATCGAATGATTGAACGCTTGAGAGCTTGGCTGCTGCGCGCCGGGTGCACAATAATAAGCCACAAGCACATCGCCAATTTATGGGGCATGATCGAGCTGTTCAGATTGCTATCACCTACGCCTCCATCAAAGGTTGCAGCTTGATTTTGCATGTGTTCCTCGGTCTAAATCCGTGATGGAGTGAAACCTGGGCCGAGGCGGCGGTTGTGAAAACAAATACCGTCCAGGTTTGTTACCAGAAGGGGTAGAAGCAACTGGTCCTGGAATGCGAGGGGCCAACCAATTAAATTTGAGTTCCACGTATTGTTCAACAAGAGAGGCGTTTGAGTCTTCACGGTTTGCGTACATACATACATGGACACATACATGCATACATACGTGCACACACACAATGCTTCTTTTTTTCTGTGTGTGCGTGGGGTCTTCCTTGCTCACACGGACGCGGCCAATCACGCAAGAGCAGTGCGCCGGCCATTCCATCCATGTCAAACTCGACCATGCCACCTGCATCGCTTGGTTGATTACAATGCGATTCACAAAGCTGAAACTTGGAATTGTCAAAGTTTGATTGGGGAACGTCCAACGTCCATCTTGCCTTCAAATCGTCCACGGTGGCTTGATGGACCATCTGCAAGAGTTGTGGTGCCCCGAACTCGCTGCGCACCACCACGCCAAAGTGGCCTCGCTGCAAAGCCGGTGGCGCATGAAGGGAACACGACAAGCAGACAAGAAAACCAGCCCGGCTCGAATCAATCGATACCCTGTGGGACTGCCATTTTTGCTTTTGCTGGAAAGGGGGCGGTCCACACGCTGACAGGCATTCAATATGTTTGATCCTTTATAATGGCAACCCATGTATGTATGTACGCAAACCGTGAAGACTCAAACGCCTCTCTTTTTGAACAATACGTGGAACTCAAATTTAATTGGTTGGCCCCTCGCATTCCAGGACCAGTTGCTTCTACCCCTTCTGGTAACAAACCTGGACGGTATTTGTGTTTCACAACCGCCGCCTCGGCCCAGGTTTCACTCCATCACGGATTTACACCGAGGAACACATGCAAAATCAAGCTGCAACCTTTGATGGAGGCGTAGGTGATAGCAATCTGAACAGCTCGATCATGCCCCATACTTTGGGGATGTGCTTGTGGCTTATTATTGTGCACCCGGCGCGCAGCAGCCAAGCTCTCAAGCGTTCAATCATTCGATCTATGGCGATAATTCACGTTGATTTTGCTTGGGCCGTGACCTCAATATTACATCCACGGATGAACATACAGTTGGCTTCATATTGGCCGTTTCTTCAGAGCATCAATAACCTTGCTTTGAAGGATTAGGGGTGTGAAGGGCTAGCCTTGGAACCTGGTTTTGGAAGCCTTTGGAGGGATAGCCTTGAAAAAGTCCGCTTTTGAGAAGTTGCACCATACTACTGGGCTTATTATTGAATGTTTCTTGAGAGAAACAACAGCCTTGATATGAAGAATTGGGGGTGGGAAGGCCTAGCCTTGAAACCTACTTTTGGAAGCCTTTGGAAGGGTAGCCTTGAAAACGTCCGTTTTTGAGGATTGCACCATACTACTGGGCTTATTACTTTGCGGTGAGTCAGATAGAGGTAAGTCCGAACAGAATACATCTTGCAAGCTGCTGGATTTGCTCATCCGTCATAGGCACTTCAATTCGTTCATTGTCCTCTTAAATCGTAGGCCGCAAAGGGGGCTTGCAAAAGGGCTTGTCCATTGATGGTCTTCAGGAAAGCGTAAACTTCTGCCCGTGATCAAACTTGACGCCAATCAAAGCAGTGATCCTGTAGATCAGCCCGTCGTATGCACTGGGGTCAACTGCTGCATTCTTCGGGGCAGCCAACACACCCCTGCTTTAAACAATTATCGTCTGCTGAAGTGCCTTTTGGAACAGGGTTTGATACACACACTTGGTAGAGTGCTTCGTAGCAAGCATTAGCACTTTATCTTACTGCATTAGCCGAGCTACGTGCAGGAAAACAACGTAGGAGACAGCGTTATGCAATACTTAGGTTCACAAAGATGGATTAAACATGCAGGTACACACAGTTGATCAGACTGCGCATGCACCGATCAAGCATAGCTTTGTTAGCCAGAGTTTGCTTGTCGGTCGCTGGCCCCCCCACACACACATACACACCTCATATGAAGAACAATCCAACCGTTTCTTTGAGTGGATTGCATCTAGATGTCCATGATCATGCTCCCGTTGTTTCTATGTAATGTTGATACGCTAACGCCTGTATCGGCTGTTGTAACATGCAACGTCTTCCCCCGCTGTCCTGTTGTTTTCAACGCATCGCCGACAGGATTGCTTTTGCCTGTTGACAATATCTTGCTCTTATAGATGTCAAAGAAAACAAAGACAATTATAAACACATCTTGTTGGTTGCTGTTGCTAGCAAACGGCCACTCCGTGGACTCCTTACATACCAAGGCGATCCGGATGTCTTCCATCCACCACCACAACGACCGCTGGATCCCCAAATGGCCGGTGTTCCATTCGATGGTCGCGCCTTCTTCTCCATGTTCATGCGGATCAATCGCTGATACCACCTCGAGACTCCGCGCTAGCGTGGAGTAGAAGAACATATGCATGTCATTGGGTCAAAACACTGACCTGAAACAAACACGGACTACAGCTCAAGACCTCAAGCTGAATCATATCTGTGCTTTTTCGGACGACTTCAGTCCCAAAAGCTCGGAACTCCTGACCCTTAGGGCCATACAGGGAACCTTCCGTTCGCTGCTACCGCGTTGTTCGTTGCGAACGAAGTTGGCCGATCCCAGCACGAGCCTCCCACCGAGGGTCGGCGGTGCCGGGTCGGAAGACTGACTGGTGCGACGCAAGCAGGGTGGCTGAGGGTGGCTGGATCCAAAGGAATCTCTGGGGCGAAACTTCCCTCATTCGCCTACTTTCGTCGCACCAGTCAGAGGATTCCATGGACCCTGAGTACACCACGTCGGTTGACCATCGGAGCCAGGGAGTCGTGGGAGTCGTGTTCGGGAGTGCCTGCAGGAGCTGTGTTCCAAAAAAACCGTGGTGAGGAGTGCATGCGTCCTCGGACAGGTGAGGAGCTGTTCCTCGGCAGTGCCGCAAAAGACTCCTGCACCATGTCACTAGGTGAGGTATAGTTATATATATATATAGACAGAAAGGACCCACTGGCTTCCGCCCAACCGCTCAAGCACTGAACCGAAATGGAAGTAGGCCAGTATAGCCTCCAAAAGGGCTCTATAAATCGACTGGGGTATCCTCTTTATGCCGGTGTAAGGAATTCCAATGTTCTCAAAACTGTTCTTGGGATACACAATCAAACACAGGATCCACATAGGAGATCTTGTCAGTCCAACCAGGGACCTGTTCCATCCAATGTCCATTTTCCCCGACTCCTCGTGACCATCGACGACTGCTTCTGTTCTGACTGCTTCTGTGCCCATGGAACCCGAAGTCAAAGAAAGATCCAGGAGTCACAGGAAGGAGTACGACGTCGGTGTCCATCCACTCACTGTGAAGGACCACGTCGGAGCACGACGCCCGACGTCGGACGCAGACGTCGGACGCAAACGTCCAGCACCAGAACACCACTCCGAGCGACCATGAGACTCCGAGCGACTGTCCTTCTTGAGTTGTCTCACTCACATCCGGTCACCCAGCACCACCCAGCTTCAAGTGGTTTTTGTTCGACCCCCCTGAAGATGTATGTTCCATCCATGGCACCGGCGCTGAAACGGGCGCTGAAACGGCCCCTTCCTTCGGTCGGGGTAGGTGATCGCACTTCCCCAGGTCGGTGGACTTCGACTACCTATACCCTACCCAAACACTCCATGGGGTTGGGGTGCTTTTGGGGGTCAATTGATCGGCAGTCCTATGGCAGTCCCATGGAGTGTCTGGGCTATTCCATCCATCCATCCATCCATCAAGCCGGGTGTCCACGCCAGCTGTGCCAAGCTTTCCGGTCCCACTCGGGCACCAGGTTGGCCTTCTCCTCTCAGCTTGGTCCAAGTGACCCCGGATGTACCGGGATTGAAGATGAAACCTCATCTTCGACATGCCAAGGAAGTCAGTCAGGTGACATTCACACACACCATAAGAAGGCTTTTGGACCATCAAAGGCCTCAGGTTTTTAGAGGTTGTTAGACTCCAATGGAAGTCATGCGACATTCAGAACAACAAAAAACATGGCTGAAACTGTGTGAGTTGCACATCGTTTTCTTTGTCAATTCGACAAAACGGGCACCGAGAATAAATCTGAGAACAGAACCAAACACTAAACTGAAGATTCATGTTGTTTTTGGGTGGGTGCCTTGATCCAACCAGATTTGGGACACGCCAAATAAATAGGTGTCCCCGACCCCTCGTGGTCTCCTCGTTGGTCCAGGGCCGCAACTTCAGATCTTTACCTCACTGCAAGTGGCCGGAAGTTCTGGATCACGAGCCATAGTTTTGATAGGACGTTGGACCTCTTTTTGGGCTGGTTGCTGGCCCGAGGTCACTCAGGCTGTTTGTTGGGACTATAGCTGGACCCGACGACACATTGGTACCGGGACATGACCCGACTGGACAACAGGTACCACTAGGGACCCATTTCCGAGGTACATACTGAGGTTCCAAGAATCAGAAAAACAAAAGCTCCTGTTCCCAAGCTCGGTGTTTTTGTTTTTACGCTTTTTGTTGAGACCGTGTATGTGGATCCATCGCACAGTTGAGGGATCTCCAGAAACCAAATACCACAACAACTATGCATCAGAACCCGAACACCAACGGAGCCGGACCCAAGTCACGCGACGCGACTGTCACGCTCAGGAGTTGTGAACAACTCCGTTGGGAGCACACCGAGATCGTTCCTTGTTCTGACTCGCCGTTGGACGAATCAACCAAGAGAGGTGAAAATCGACCAGGGACCTACCCGTCACCGTCACCGTCACCAGGGTACCCTCTGCTTCTGGGAGAGTCGACTAGTCAGGTCCAACCATACCGTCCATCAGTGACTCCTACCAGGGATCCCGACCCCCAACACTGGTGAATGGACCGCGACTGGACCACCGGAGGCCGAATCTCTATGTGTCCGGTGTCCTGTCCAATCGGCTCGGTGAAAGGCAGGTGATTGACTTCCAGGTGGAACTCTACCCTAAGAATCAGAACGGACCCGACCACTTCTGGAGGGTTTGGACTCTGCAGAACCGAGGGGGCCCTTGGACCTGAACCAAACCTTCACCGAACTGAGGGTCCTTGATTGTCACAGCTCCAGGCCGCGGGGGCGAGGCCCTTCAGGCCGCTCCATCTCTTTTTCGTCCGAGGACAGTGGAGGGATGATGGATGATAGCAGAGCTTCTGTAAGAAAGGCCATCAGAGCCCTTGGGGCTCAAGGACTAGGTTTCAATGGGTCCTTCGAGCTGCTACGAAATGGGAAATGGGTCCTTAAAATCTGAAAAAAGGCCCCGCAAAGGCAGAAGATCCCTCTGAGGGAAGAGCTCCGCAGGGCCAGATTCCGAAGGCTTGGGAATATCTTGTGGTAGCAATGTTCCTTCCCTAAGAATCCAAGTGACCCTGCAAGGGTCCAGGCTCCAAACCTTCCAAGGGTCCTGGCTGATGGTTAGTGTGGATTTGCTTAAGGAACCTTGAAACATGTATAAATAACACATTCCCCAGAAGGTGATTTACCCGGAAACTAAAGCACGACCTTAAGCAAAATGTCGTTAGGGTTGTGTCTATGCCATGGATCCAACTACACAACCCTCTCCCGTCTCGCGGAAACATTCGTTGTTGTGATCCCAGTCTTTTGGGGGGGACCCCGAACAAAAAGCAACTGCATCACCTACGCAAAGAACACCCTGGAACTGGAACCAGACTTGAACCAAAATGGCATACAAGTCGTGTGATCGCTTTAACACCAACATGTGTTTCACGTCACAAGCAGTCCCTACCCAACCAACCATTCATTTTGCTAGAGAAATCTATAGTAGATTAGTAGATATATGATCATATGATACATGTACCAGGACCATCCAATGGGTGCCCTGTCTGGAAGCCTATAGGTAGTGTGGGTTTGTTCATTGGACACCCCTTGGATGGTCCTGGTAGGTATAGTTATTTAATGATAGACCTGGAGTCGTCAGTTTGGAGTCGTCATCTCGAACACAACAGGCCAAAACGGGATCCTCTACCCGGGCCTCCTTGATCACCAACCAAAACGGGTGGTTCCCCCACCAAAAACGCCCGGCGGCACACACCGCGGCGCAAACACCGATCCACCGAGAGATCTCGCTTCGTCCGCCTCCTCGCTGCGACGAGTCACTGAAGGGGCACCACACGCGACGCGGCTGCCCAGGCGACCGATCAGCGGCCGCGCCATCGCGTTGCGCGCGCGGTGAAGGAGGGAAGCGCTCCTCGTGGCGAGATCGTCCAGCGAGGACCGGGAGAGAGGGAAGCCAGACAGACAACTGGGAGGGTGCAAGAGCTGCAAGAGCTGCCGAGACTTCTGGGAGATGAACTATAGATGGCCAGTTCACCTGAAGAAACTCCCTATACAGCATGCTGGATGGATCAGTTCTCCCATGTTCTCCCCACCACGCGTTCCCCATGCGTAAGGACGTTCTCCGCCCGGTCGATTTCACTGGTTCGGTGGCGGAAAAGGGAGCATCGCTGCACCGCTCAAGAAAAAACAAAGTCCCGGACAACAAAACTGAGGTTCATCTGCCGTTCCACCAAGTTGTCCGGGACTCAACCACCAAGTGAAGGTTATAACAACTGGTACCATGGGCCATGGGTTTTAAACCACCAAGTTCCAGAAAGTGATCTTCAAACTTCAGTGATCCGTTATTGGAAGGAAGAGTGACCGTCAGTGCCCAATGCAAGGGGAACTCCAACAATCAATTTGGCTGCGATATATTTTTCTTAGCGTTGACATCCGTCGACCCCATCTGTTCCTGCTACCACTGTTGGGTGTTTCTCAAACAATGATGTAGAGATGCCAAAATCAGGACGTGATTGGACAAACACAAAGTGTAAACCCACACACTTAAATAGACTTAGAAGGAAGCTCACACATCTCGCAAGAGCACAATTCGTTCTTCTTCCGGAATGGTCCAATCATCGAATCGAAGCATCAATTTGTGAAGAAACAGCCCTTTGGAACAGGGTTTGACACACGCACACAAAACAAATAGAACCCACAAACTATAAACGGGAACCCTTCGCTACAACAACAACAACAAACACAAACAACAACAAACAAACAACAAACAAACAAACAAACAAACGAACGAACGAACGCACGAACAAACAAACAAACAAACAAACAAACAAACAAACAAACACACAAACAAACAAACAGACAGACAAACAGACAAACAAACAAACAAACAAACAAACACACAAACAAAAAAAAACAAGCGAACGGACAAACAAACAAACAAACAAACAAGACATACAACAACGTACGTATACAACAAACAACAACAACAACACCAAGAACAAGAACAAGAACAAACAACAAACAACAAACAACATACAAATACAACAACAACAACAGCAACAGCAACAGCAACAGCAACAGCAGCAACAACAACAACAACAACCACAACAACGACAACAACGACCAACATACAACATACAATAACAGGTCACCAAGCTCCGCACATAGATTGGTGCGTCCGCACCCTCCAAATCAAGGCCATCCCGTAGGTCCACCTGGGTGAACAGACGTGTCGGACCGGGGACGAGCCCATGAGTTGGAGGGTCCGAGCCCGGAGCTGGAGACCGAGTCGACTCATTTCACACCCACCCGAGTCGACCCGTCAGGACCCTAGGACTCAGTGTGAAGCTTTGGGACTCAGGTCCTGCGTGACCCTGCAAGCCGCGTCCCGGTCCCGCGTCCCGGAGAATTCTCGACCCCGGTTCGCCGGCGCGGTGAGCTGGATCGAACACCCCTTTTTGGGCCCCAAAGAATCCGTATACTCCGCGGTCTTTGGATGAGCTCCTATCCCAGACACCGCGGTCTTGGGACTGGCATATTTACCCTATGGATCCACTGCCACCTTTGAGGAGGTACGACTGGGCCCTCCTGGCGCCTACATAAATAGTCTCCAATCAGGTACCAGTACTTGGATCCCTAGGGTTACATACATTGACCCCGAAACCACAACCAGCATACCAGTCCCAGAGAGGTCGTGTCTGGGTACCCGACATTGGGCCCAAGAACCGGACCCGACGTCAAGGACTTCGGCCACCGTTGCTTCGGCCACCGTCAAGGACTTCGGCACATGCCGAGGGGACGAAGATGTGAAGAAGTGAGGGTTGAAATCGAATGTCTGCCTGGAGTGCCTAGGGATCCACTGCCACCTTCTCAGGACGTACGACTGGGCCCTCCAAGCCTATACTTGGATTCTCAAAGAATGGTTCATACCCCTTTGGGCCCCAAGCAACGACGAATTCTCTGGTTTCGTACCAAAGTACCCGATGGGATGGCCGAACGCGGATTGGAATATGATCCATCCAAAAGAGGCTTTTGGAGACCTGCACGTGCACCGTTCAGACCCTAGTGACTAGTGGTATACATATGCGCTGGACGAAAAAAGGCATCACTATTGGGTTGTAGGCCATCAAGCCAGGACCATCCTGTTTCACTGTCCGGACGTCTGAACTAGACTACTATCGGGGATCTCCAAACGTCCAGGAATAGACCAGAAATAGATGTTTTGTATAATTAAGAGGATGAGTTCCCTACATCTTGTCCATCAAGGGTCGTATGTTTGAAAATGAGGCTAAGTCACAACGTGTCCCCTTTCTACGCACCAAACCATCCATCACCAGGCCATCCATGTATGACAAATACGTTCATTCAGATCATAACTGGGGTATGTATAACTCTTTCATCATATTTCAGTCCCATGGATGAATGGTGACCTACGTTGGGGTCACAACGTATCTAACCAATTTCGAGAGGTGTTTGTTCATAGCCTTTTTTCACCCATCCCATATATACCACGCCACTAGTCGTGGGTCCGAACGTTCAGGTCTCTAGCGATGGCCTCCAACCTAATAGCTTCATATTTATACAACCATCATCAACAATCTATTTAACATACTGATAGATTGGTCCTACTTTGGAGGAGGGAGAACTTCTGGAAAGCTGGAGAGCTTGGGACAGTGTGGGTCCAAAGCATCCCTCGCCCGAACGAAAAAACCATGAATCGAAGAGTGGGAAGTGGATTTCTGCGGGATCTACATGGGGTTGACCTCCTTCATTGACACGACAATCTACAAACCATGCTTTCGGTTGACCTTCTTCATCGGACCCATCGACGGATGCGATCCGCCCTCTGAGGGAACCCGACCCGAGCGGAGGAGGCCGGCCTACATACCCCTAGACCTCCAAGTACCTTCTGAGAAGTGGTTTGGGGTAGGTTTGGAGGGTCCAAATACCTTCTGAGGAGGTCCTTGGAGGTGTAGGGTACGTCTCTCCCTGCGAAACCATAGACGTCTGGATCCGTTGATCCCTGCGAAACTGGATGGGAGTGCCATCGGACGGTGACTCGACCTCGCCTGGGAGGTCGGATCTACCGGAAACGAGGACTGCAAGGAATGTCACTCGGTACCCGTGAGCCTTGAACATGGGACATCACCCGAACCCCAAAAAAACAGGTACGACCGGGGCCCAGGTTCAAAGGTAACAGGTCGACTCCAGGTAGACCGGTGTTTTCTATGTTTGTTCGGTGATAGTTATATATCAGCTGGAGAGTCCAAGGTTGGTGTGGAGGTGAAAAGTATCCATCTCCATTACACCAAATACACATCAGCATGTTATTATTATTGAAAACCCTGTCTTGTCTGTGGGTATAAAAGGGCAACTGGTGAGATCGAGCCACCTGAGTTTTGTTGAACGCGAACCCATGCCCATGGTCATGGTCTTTTGAAGAGTGGTGAGGGTTTCCATGACATGCAACTCACTGTGCTCACTCATGGCATGCGTCAGATGCGTTGTTTTTCTGCCCTTGAGGATGGATATATACCTGGAGTCTCAAAGTGTCTTGTTTGATAGAACATGGGTATAAGTATGCCTGTTTTCATAGGGTCATGTCCCATTTTCTAGAGTCTTCGAAGCCGGGTCCAGGTACAACAACTATCATCAACTCCCATGAAAAAAACCTGCCCACCCATGGGCCCTGACTGGGACTTCCCGCTCTTGTCCTTCCGGTGATGAGCCGGGGCACATAAGTGCGCAAACCGAAGGTCTCCAAGTACGCCAGGTCCTTGCAGGTGCACGCCGGCCGGGCGCTTCACAAAGCAGCTGAGAATCGTGGAGATCCAAATGCGATGGTCATCGAGCAAAAGTCGGGGCATTGGCGTTTCGGGGCAGGTTGGAAACCAGAAGCGATCGTATCTATCCAGGCCCAAATTCTATCAAGTGTATGAACTGATCCCATTCTGTATAGAAAGGTGTTGTAACCAAAGCCAGGCCGACCACCTATACATTACTATACATAAATGAAGCAACGAACATGATGTAATTACGTGAACCCAGCTGCAGGTGAAGAGAATAATGCACACCAAAAAACACAACAAATTTTCCCGGCACCAGACCCCAAACAGTGTCTGTGTGTGTGTGTGAGAGGTCAGGAGGTGTAGCAGCAGAAGGTTCACAAAGTGCTGTGCCTGCCACGACATCCGCACTTTGAGGTTCACAAAGTGCTACGCCTGTCACGAAATCTGCGCTTCGAAGCTCACAAAGTCCTGCGCCTGCCACGCAATCTGCGCTTCGAAGTTCACAAAGTGCTGCGCCTGCCACGAAATCT